AAATTAAATAGTAAATTTCCCATATTATGGTAAAATACAGTATAAAGTCTTGCTTTTTTGCAGTTGAAGAATGGAGAATCACTTTATGAAATGGGTTAATTTACAAGTTCCTCGTGTTATGCAAGAATAAAAATTGGAACTTACCTAAATCTATCATGAATTCATCTGTGAATATTAATGGTAAATTACGGTAGATGTTACAGTAAAATTTATTTACAAATCGTTAGGTATTTTCACAGAACTTTACGTTGGTTATAAATAGCCAACGTAAAGTTGTGGAATATTACATAAACTTTTTTTACCGTGCAGTTCGGTTATACATTTACGTGTTTTAATATTCGGAATCGACCTTTAAGTAAGCCGTAACATTACTCAATAAACACTCTAGTGGAGGAAAGTTTGTAATTAAAATTTCTCTGCTTTCGTGTTAAGTGACCGTTATCTTTATATGGTGTTAACAAGTAGTTAGTACATTTGTACGCCGAATCCTCCAAAATGTGGGTATTCGTATCTGGAAAGAGTTCAAAGGGTGTTTCACGAATTCTTTTCCCTAATGGTGAATTGTGCCATACACGCGCATCATGGACGCTTCCAGGATAGCCTATAAATTATGTACCGTTAATATGAACAAAAGCATGGATATTACCTGCAAAAACATCTGTGGACATATAATTGGCATCACACACACCTTGCAAGATTATAGAATGGTAGTGATGTCTATTACAATAACTTCCTTGATCTTGAGAAAGAGCCGTAATTGGTATATGTGTACCATCAACTGCCCCTAACACGCCAGGAAACCCCGCACGTTTGGAAAATTGCAGCATTACTTGATGTGCTTTCTGTCGAGTGGGCCACACAATATAATTAGACGATTGATCCGTTAAAATTGTGCATACTTTTTGCACATACAACCACGCTGTTGATGTGCTTACATTAAATTTCTCGGAAATGAGTCGATAAACTTGCTGGTTACACAACATACTCAAGGCTATGAGTAGTTGTGTTTGTGGAGGTTTTGCAGTCGGTCCTACCCCATTGTCTCTTTTTTTCTATTAAAAATTTACCAATTCCACCCAGAATGTAATTGAAGGTAGAATGTGAAAGTCTATAATGACTTTTAAAAACTGAAAGCAATATATTTTCATATACAACTGTACACATTGGTAATAACATACCACTATCATCATACAAAGATGCCACATTTTCAATATAATCTTTTACGGCAATTCGAGGTCTTTTTTGTAGATGTACTGACTTTGATAAAATTGTAATCATTTCATCTTCATCCTCACTATCACTCTCCATCAACTGGGCTATTGCCGCCAAAATTAACTTCCGTTTTCTATTACTTTTTGCAACTTCCATTACAAAGTAAAGAAAAACAAACCAAGAAAGCATGCAAATTTATGAAACAGTCCCTTTAACCTAACCTACAAAACAAATCTGACGCTCTCTATTTACCGTGTCGTTCGATAAATCAACCATAACCACGCTCACCGTAGCTGTTTACCGAATTTTACCGAGACATTTGTCTCGATCCAATTATCGTAAATGCCCTACTGATAAAATCGAACTGTTCACATTTAAAAAATCTTTCTATTCTTTCTCTCAGCTTATCTAGGTCTTCTTTCTTTGTCCTACAATTTGAATTTAGGAAACTTTCGGTTTCATTATTTGTATTACCTAATAGATAAGGGGAATCCCTAGTTCTCTTGATTTTTCCCCGAGTTCATTTTCTTCCTGTGGCATTGTAAGACACTTGTCTGTATGTGGTGAAGCTACAAATTCTTAACTGGGTTTTATCCGGCTCATCTGTGAGGATTATCAAGAACTAGTGAGCCCGTGGGCTACGCCCCACGTGGCGTAGCAAGGGTCCAAGGGAAAATAGGGAAATCTTTTGTTTGACACATTACACGGCCTCATTGAAAAGTGTATCACTTCCTCTGTCGTTCTGAAGGTTGATGGCGGTGGGGTTCATATTGACATAAGATGTGGGCTTAAAAACACCAACATCGACATGTCAAAAACATGAAATAATACACATTAAACTATTATTCTTTTTGCTTTATTGCAACTAAATTGAGAACGGCATACAATTAACATTAATACACAATAGTTGTATTCCATTGTTTGCTTTATTGCAACGCTCTTTCATAAACAATATTTTTTTTTGTTTTGGCATGTGTGAAGATGAATAATGAAGACGGTTTACCAACACGTGAGCATCCAACGTATAATTGTCCATGTGAGAAACATGGTGGTTCAAGATGTAATCCACATACTTGAAGCGATTGCCCTTGAGATTTATTGATGGTCATAGCAAATGCCAGTCGGACGGGAAATTGTATTCGCTTAAATTCGAAAGGCATATCTGATGGAATAATTGGTATACGTGGAATCAATACGTTTTCGCCTTTGTATTTGCCAGATAATATAGTTGCTTCAATGATGTTGTTCAGCAATTGTTTTACAGCCAGTCTTGTTCCATTACAAAGCCTTGGTTGATGTAAATTGCGTAACAGAATGATTGGCACACCAATTTTTAATTGCAGAATATGAGGAGGAGTTCCAGGTAAATCAAGTGAATTTAAAAATTCTATTGGATAATTTACAGCTTCATCTGGATCCATAACGCAATCAATAGATTTGTAGATGTTGGTTTGGCCACTAAGCTTGTTTTGAATCTCAATATTAATATCACTTACGTCTTTGTTTTTAGCTGCCAATATAGCGCGATCGCTTAACCATTGATGATTTGTATAATTATCTACAATGTTGGGATACACACTTGCAATTAACTCCTCTTGTGATTCAGTAGTAACACAAAAATCTGCAGGCAATGTTATTAATCCTGTTGTATTGTCCGTAGCACATTTTCCATTTCCAACGTCCAATAATTGGCTTGCAAATGAATTGGCTGATGCATCATTTTGTAACTGTACGCGCATATTTACAGTAAGCGATAGTTTGTGAAACAATCGCCACAAATGAGATGATTTTAAACATGCGTTTAATTGATCTGCTGGAGTTGATCGTGCGATGACTGGTAAAGTTTGTCTAAAATCACCTGCTAATAATATAATCGCATTTCCAAATGGCTGTTGGTTGGTGCGCAAATCTCGCAAGGTTCGATCCAGTGCCTCTAAAGACTTTTTGTGTGCCATTGTGCATTCATCCCATATAATAATCTTGCATTGTTGAAGAACCTTTGCCATTGCGGATGTTTTCGAAATATTACATGTTGGTGTTTCTGTTAGTTGCATGTTTAATGGCAATTTTAATGCAGAATGTGCCGTTCTTCCACCATCTAACAAAGTGGCTGCAATTCCAGAAGACGCTATTGCCAACGCGATATTGCCGTTTGATCGTACTGTGGCCAAAATCAACGCAATTAAATATGTTTTTCCAGTACCTCCGGGAGCATCTAGGAAATACAATTCACCGTTGTTCTCATTGATGGCTTGCATAATAGTGTTGTAGACGTGCGTTTGCTGCTGATTCATGTTTGTTATGTTGTCTTGAACAAATGTATGTAATGCATTGGTATCGTACTGTGTTTCACGTTGTATTTCACGATTGCAAACTTCTGTAATGGTTCGATTTGGTGATGGCAGTCCCAATTGATTAAGGAGTTTATTCGCCATCATCAAACACATGTCTTCAATGTAAATTAATGATTGATTATACATCTCCGCAGTGTATTGTAATTCTGTGTGTTCACTTGCATTACGTGCTTGATGTAAAATGTCATCTGTCATGGCGTCTTTATGTTGTTCCCACAGTTGTACAGGTCTTGATGGAAAGCATGTTGATATTATAATTGCGAATAATGTACGCATTTGATATGAAGAAGCTGTAAGTGATGCTTCGTGAAGGGAATTGTCCCAATGTTCATCGTTTTCAAGTAAATGTAAGTGTTGACAGGCGTCACGATATGATTCGCACAATACGCCATTTACAGTTCTTAAACTGTGAAATGATGTGGGGCCACGCACAGTAATCAGCAGCAAACGTAAATAATAGCATTCAGCCATGTTTGGATGTACAGTGTATAATCGACCCAAGGCATCACTTGAAAATAACTGTGGGTGGCCAGTTACTGGTTTACCTTGTTTCCGACGTTCAAATGTTTTTCTGGTAGCATTCCACGTGAAATAACGTGGAACTTCTGAGTACAATAACGTTCCAGCAAAGTCATCAGTTTGGCACAATGCAAAAAAAGCAGTCAATGTTGTTGCTGGTGGTTGTGCTGCTCGCTCGAAAACATTTTCTGTGGTAAAATATACTCGTTGTCCATTTTCTAAATGAACAGCCAAATGTACCACAGTTGGATATCTTTCGTGAATTGGAAATGCAAATATGCGCCATATTGCTTCGTTGCTGCTGATATATCTGCCAAGCTGATATTGTCGGATTTCATCTAGATTATTTTCAGGTGCCACTCCGAAAATGGCCATGTCACTGCCTTTGTTGACATATTTACAAATATATTTGATGGACTTCACAGAATTACAATATTCTACATTTATATGTGCTTTATAGATTTTGGATAATAATGGCGAATATGGCACTATCCAACGATTATCAATCTCAACGTCATTGTTGCGTACTTTCACCATTATTGATTTACCATTGTCATGTGTTGAACGACGGCGATATAGTGGATATCCATCGTTACCTGTTATTGTTTCTGGAATGAATTGTTTTGGATATCGTTTAGAGCACTTGCCATCAATCATACATGGTGAATGTAAATTAAGAGCACCACATGGGCCATGTATCATATTCTTTGTAATTATTTGGAATAGTTCAGAATCAATTGCAGAATCCGGTATTTCAGCACAAATAATACCATCAACTTCGTTTGGTTGAATTTTATCCATACACCAAATGAGAATATGCGCATGTGGCAATCCTCTCTTCTGCCATTCAATTGAATACATCCAGCATCGAACTGAACCAAACACGTTGTACTTGACAATTAAACCCATTAATGATTTTAGTTTTTGCTTAAATACTCGTGCCGTGATGTCATGACGATCAGTGTGCGATTGTCCGGGCAACAAACATTGTTTAATTTCATTCCAGGTCGGATTGCAGGTAAATGTGATGAATAAATCCGGACGACCATAATGCCGAACGTATGACATTGCATCTTGTGCATATTCATGCATGTGACGTGGACTGCCTGTATAGGTCGATGGTAGAATTGTGATGCGACCAACGTTATTTGCATTTCCATCCGTATTAATTGCATCACGTAGATGAATGTATTCCTCCGATCTTAATTGTCGTTGGTTGAGTCGAATGAATAACAGCCGCTCTGTCTCTATTTTTGCGTACATGTCCACTACATATTGATGGAACAATTGCCGACACTTCAGAATATGATTGTCTCCATTCTCTCGAATCATTAATCTGTACGCATAATAATTCATGCAACTAATTTTTTTGGTTGTTTCCGTACCTGTAATAGTGTCATATAGTTAGATTATCTTTAAATTACTTACAAAACACATTACTTACCGGTTGTTGGATTTATCATTTTCAAATGAAAATGATATCCATCATCTCCCTGCCAAAACAGTATTGGATATTGAAGTGCGTCATAGGAACGATGTGTTTCAGAGACACGTTGCAATGTATCATTTCGCCGATGCAAAACAATATCCCTAGCTTCAAATTGATCACCACCAATGACAATTGCTATCTCATTTATTGTTGGTGCATTAAATCGTCTTGAATGTTCACCTCCAGGTGTTTTGTCAGCTCTTATAACTATTTTGTGATTGTCGGACGGCATTCGGTCTATTGCAGTTTTAAATAATTTTACCAATTGATTGTGCTGATCGAGTAACATTTGTAATGACTCTACAATTTGACGGCGTATCCCAGAAGTAATGGCACATCTAGTGTTGACCTCATCATCCGAACTGCCAAGAAAATATATCTGTAGAAATTTGTGTTGTTCATCAGATATCGGCAATAATGAACCTACAGTGTGATATATTTGACCTTGCACTTTGAATGTTGGCATGAAGTGATCAGTAATTATTTTATCTGCACCAAATGACGTCATTTGGAAGCAACTGTTGTACTTCCGAATATTAGTGAGAAAATGTTTTGATTGAGAAGTAGTTCCAGATACTAATGTTAGTAACGGTTCCGGTGCTTGTTGTAAGGGTGTTAATTTTACTTGTCCATTAACGCAACACAACCCGGGCGCTTCCGTTTCGTATTTCAATGCTTGACAATGGGCACACACTTTATCCATATTACCAATATCAATGTTGCGATGCGAGTTATAATCAATTGTTGGATCATAGTCGAATGCAAGCCGTAGAAATGTCATTCGATTAGTGGCACGTGTTGCTGATCTTACTCGTCGATACGCAACACGTCGTTCTTCACTTCGCATTTGGCGTTGTTCTTGTGTAATGTTTTCACGGACGCGTGAATTGTGATTTCTAACTTGTTCATTTTCTGCTGCATGTTCCTCCTCTGTTCTTCGGGACCGTGCGTGACGGACGTAATTTATTTGTCGTGTACGGCGACCAATATCTGAACGTCGTCGCGGCATTGCGCTCGATTCAAACCAAATGTAATTAACAACCCGTACCGTACTCAGTACTAACCGTACTGCGAACCTCAGAACGGAGACCGTCTACCAGTTCTATTTTTAGAACGAATACGTACCCTTGAGATGGCAGTAATGTTTACAGGCAGGCGGTCGGGCGCACTTGAGACTGCCGTTGACGTTGACGTTATAAACTGTCACACTTCACCCCCGAACAATTTTTTAAGCTTTTACTTTACTTCGACATATCGGCATTCGGCAACAGTCCAGTGGTCCCGGTGCCTGGCGTTAGATCTCTGTTGTAATTAAAGTGAAAAATATTATAAAAAACGATGGACCGTTTTTGCAGTTATTGTGGGGCAAGGAGACAACTGGAGTTTGATCGTCCATTGGGTATGCATAATATAATAACATGTTACTATGTAATATCTATTATTACTCTTTACAGATCGCTGTAGCAAATGTGATAAATTCCCATTTATATTATCGCACGAAGTAAAGTCAGCGTCGGTATTGCGGTGTTCGGTGTGTACTGCTTATATCTGCGCGATAAACAGATATTGCGAAATATGTGGACATACGGTGGAAAACAGCAAACGGATAAGGGGCGAAAGAGCTGGACAAATGCAAATGGCAGGAAAAATTCAGGCGAAAAAAATGGAAGCTATCGAACGGAGAAAAAGACGAAAACTGGAAGCTGAGTGTTCATCGTTCAGTGCCTCAACCCCATCCACAATGACATCACTTTCGCCGTCAAAAAAGTCATCATCTAATCCGTTATCATTTTCATCCAACGATGATGATGATGTAGACAATTTGTTGTCGCAAATACCGGATTCGGAATTGTCGCAAATACAGGATTCGCAAACAAAGGATTCGGAATTGTCGCAAATACAGGATTCGCAAAAACCGGATTCGGAATTGTCGCAAATACAGGATTCGGAAGCAAACCCAGAGTGAATCTATAATATGTAATTATAATTAGGTAGGTGATTAGGTAATTAGGTAAGAGTGAATCAATAATATGTAATTATAATTAGGTAGCTGATTAGGTAATTAGGTTATCTTTATAATACATAAGTACATACTTTATACATTTCCATGTAATAAACAAAATAAACAATTTAAATTGAGTGTGTGGTGGTTTCAATTTTAAATCTTATACTCGAGACCCCACTTAGCAAACGAAATAGGTAAATCTTGTCACAGTTCTATTTTTAGAACGCAAACCGAAACAGATCTATTTGTAGCTATCGTGTAAACTTTGTTGCCTAGTGTTATTGAACACCTGCACTTGAGGTGATAGTACTGTTTGTCGTACAAACGTCAAATTCGAGATGTGCACGGCTCACAACTCCCATAGTACATATATAAATTTTTGTCGTAATCAGTGCAGCCGTTTTCGCGTTTTTAACTAACATACACCAACGTCTCTTTTATATATATAAAGATTTAAGCTACATTTACGCCGCAATTATTATTTACTTACATTTCAATTGTTTTAATTGTGATTTGGCGTTTTACGCGTTATGCGGATCATAAACCACATGGCAGCATAAAACTTAGGCTCGTTCAACACCTGTAGAGGTAAGCCAACTTATTACCATCTTGCACGGGATTTAGGCATTAATTCTTTTAGCCATTTTGTTCTGCGTTTATCTCTGAAAATCAATTTTATATAATTAATCGAACGTCACTGGACACTACCTATTCTTCCGTCTTCGTCAGCGTCATTTCTATTTCTTCTGTCGCAACTTCAGGATAGCACCAAGGGTTATCGAAGCCGAGGGACACCTATTGTTGTACCCCGAGTTATACCAGCTTCCGAGGAACCATCTTCAGTTATACAACCATCGGCAACTAAAACACCAAAAGGTCAGCAACCTCTCCCAAAACTACCCTTGAAGTTACTCACTCCCTTTCTTCTCTTCCCTTACTCCTTCTTATCATTTTCCTCTTATCTTACCTCCCTGTAATCTCTCTTCCTCAGTTACGCATTCATATTCTTAATCATTCACCTCACACATACCTATCTATTCAATAAAATCTGTTTATAATTATAATTTGTGTAAAACTAATTTTTGACAACTACTTTTGTAGTTCAAGTAGGTACAAAACTGTCAGGTGCAATACAACTACCGCTTCACGGTGATTCATTTTAACTAATTTAAATTTTTTATTATCGCACGTCAGTCACGTACGCAGGCAAGTAGATAATACGAACTGATTTTTTTGAGTAGTGAAGCTTCTTACTATTATGTGGGGTTTGTCCTACAAGCAGACTGAGTAATCTCCTAAATGTATATTTGATTTTATTTCACTTCCACACTTAACAGTTCTATGTATTAGTGCGTTCGGTTTTACAAGATTTGGTCGCTCTTTTAACTCTTTAAGCTCGAATTGCGTTCGGTTTTCACCTCATATCGCTTATTTTAATCTATTATGTCGCAGCCGTTTAATGAAATTGGACATTTCATGAAAAGTCTAGACACTTCATGAAATGCAGCCAGATAGTGAAATAAAATGATATTTCACCAAGTGACTAATTATTTTAGTCACTTCATGAAACGCAACTTCTTTTCTGCCTCATGCTGAAATGTCGATTACATATAATGTACAAATAATTGTGAAAGAACACATCAGTTATCAAAAATGTAAATCTTTAATTATTTGTTTGAACATGGCAAACTTTGGTGGCACCTAGAAGTACACATCGATTTATTTTTCATGCAAATACACCTTCCGCTGTTGCATTGTTTTCTTCCTGGTTTGCACATGCATTTAACAAATCCTTGACCGCCGCTTGTCATCATTACAGCTTCTCTGATTGACAAGTATCTAGTTGTGTTAATAGCATGTATGGAAAGGAACGCTGCACCTGCTAGTGATAAACATTCTGGTCCAAACCAATCCTTTAACATTCCATGCTGACAAGCTAATTGATTAACGCCGTTTTTTTGGTCCATGATGATACATATTAAGTTTAGCGGATCTCCAGGTCCTCGATCTACCTTGGGTGTGCTTAACAACACACAATCGCCTTTCTTTAGTTTAGGTAACTTTTTCGTGGAACTGTTGAGCATTTTTTTTGCAGCTTCTTCAGTTTTAGTTCTAGTAGCTTGTCTTTCTCTAAGAATGTTACTTGAAGTAAAACATAACTGACATAATTGTGTATCAGCGTCTTCTTTGCTACAAGAAGCTGATATGCAATTGGGATGAACATTCTGTTGACATTTGTCACACCGCACTTTATTTTCTGAATTTAGTTCTTCTTCACAAATACAACACCTATCGATTTGACAACTCGGATTATGATGAACAACGGTGTCCGTTACGCACGCACTAAGAACATCCGTCTCGATATTGTCAGTGTAATTTTCGTTATTTTCAATATCATTTTCCTCATTTTCGCCATCATTGTCCACATTTTCACTAACATTTTCACAATTAAGTAGTTCCTCTGCTTCTGCCGGTCGATCATTCAAAATCTCTTGCAATTCTTCTTCGGTTTCTATAGTCTTTGCCAATGACAATGGAATGTTACTAGAAGTAAGGCCAAGTTTTGGGTCACTTCCTAACAGAGCCTTGTATGGTGAACGTCCAATGGTTCTATGGAAAGAAATATTTTTTTGCCATTGAACAAACTGTAAACCAATGGACCATTTCTTAGAATTATTGTCGTGCATCCAAGCGCGTATCATATCTTCTACATCTTTATTGGCCCTTTCAATGCTCCCTTGGCTTTGTGGATGTCTTGGGCGCCCATGTACCAGTAGACACTCTGACCACATTGTTTTCAAGTCGGTGATTATGCGGTTAACAAATTCGCGACCATTATCGCTCTGAAGGATCTTCGGGGCCCCGATTAACAGAAAAATACTTAACAGTTCTTTAGCAACTTCTTCGGCTCTCTTAGATTCTAATGCTCGCAGAAAGATGAATTTTGTGGAATGGTCCTGATAGTTCATAATCCATTTGAATTTACTATCAGGCATTGACTGGAAATCAATTAAGTCTACCTGGCCCCGTTCATTAAAGTCTTTCGAAACGATTGGCCGCACAACTATTTTTTTCCTTCCTTGCTTTTTTTCATTGCATGGTTCACAGCATGAGATAAATAATTCAATTGCTGGACGAGGAATACTGTATTTCATACGTAAAGCAGCTTCCATTTTAATTCGTCCCCCATGACCAGTTTTGTTGGTATGAACATCGTCCAGTTTTTCATATAGCTCCTCATATGCAACCACATATTCTATTTTATCTTCCGCGCCATGTTGCTTAATTAGATATGAGTTATTTCCCACAGTCATTACATCGTACGTGCTTAATAAAAAGTATTCTCTCCTTTCTTTTCGTCCGCTATAAAAAAACAACATTAAGATAGAGTAGGTAATAGCATGTTACTGTACTTACGTTTTACTTTTAGCTATTTGGATTTCGTTAATCATTGACTTAATGATATCTTTTGTGAACGGTTTTTTATTTGGTTTATCATTGTAATAATTTAACACCTTTTCATAAAATAAGTTCTTGCGCACACTAACATTTGAATCGTTCTTCTGTGACATTTTCACAAGGTATGTCAGATGTAAAAGTATTTAAAGACTGTTCGCACAACGACCGCTATCTAAGAACTGCCGATGTAAAATAAAAGGAAATGACTCATACTGTTTGGGTTGGAGTTTGTTTCAGCATGAGGCAGAAAGGAAGTTGCGTTTCATGAACTGTCTAAAATAATTAGTCACTTGGTGAAATATCATTTTATTTCACTATCTGGCTGCATTTCATGAAGTGTCTAGACTTTTCATGAAATGTCCAATTTCATTAAACGGCTGCGACATATATATTACAAGTCACGCCCCGTGTCTATCCTCTCGGCGCCCGCGTTCGAAGTGGAAGTGGCTAGCGTACCTTAGTGTGGTTATAACATACCTCCCCCCTTTAAATAGGACATGTTCAGATAGTTAACTACGTGGGAGATAAATTTCGTATTCGCCTGAGCGTATCCAAGCTGGCGCTTGCACGTCCCGTGCTGGTCGTAGCGGTCGCGGAGCGGCAAGTGGTGATTGGTTTTCAGTTGCCATCGGAAATCTGGATTCATGTTTACTATTCTGTGAGCAGTCCGGTTGTGTAAAGCTTGGTGGACGAAGGTCAGATATATCGTCTTCTGTAGGTATTAACGGTGCAGGCTCTGATGTATCTGACACGCGAGGCTCTTCTCTCGGTGAAGATGAGGATTGTTGAGTTACCTGCTCACTGTCTTCATCGTCCCATAGCAGAAGGGCGGTGTTAGTAGAACTGGGGCTAGCTTTAGCTTGGCGCCTCCTTCGAGGTGGTCCGGGATGCAGTTGTGCCAAATAGTAATGCACATGCTTCTTTGTTGAAAGTGTCGTACCTACGTTCCGTGGGCGTTAATGTCCTGGACGCGCAGGTAATAGGGCGCTCCGAACAGTCAGGGTAAATGTGTGCTAAAATGGCGGAAATGCCGTAATCGGAGGCGTCTACTGCAATGCAGAGCGGCTTTTTAGGGTCGTAGTAGTTTAACACCTGATCTGAGAGTAAAATTTTCTTGACGTAGTTCACAGCGGCGTCATGTTCTTCGTCCCAAATCCAGGGTGCCGCGCTGTCCAAAAGGCGATATAAAGGTTCAAAACGCGTTGCTTTGTCTTGGAAAAAGCGGTCGTAAAAGTTTATCAATCCCAGAAAACTTTGCAATTGTGCCTTGTCTCGAGGCGGTGGAAAGTTACGAATAGCGTCTACTTTTTCCTTGACGGGGTGCACGCCCTCAGCGTCGACGCGAAAACCGAGAAATACGACGCTACTTACACGAAAAGCGCATTTATTCAATCTCACTCGGAGGCCTGCTTCGTGTAGTTTGTCTAAAACGTTGAGTAGCCGTTTATCATGCGTTGGAATGCTTTCGCCGCATACTAAGATGTCGTCCTGTATGACGAGAACACCGGGGAGACCAGCGAGTAAATCGGTCATTAGTCGCTGGAATATACCGGATGCAACTGTAATGCCGAATGGGAGCCGGTGTACTTTGTATAAACCCAAAATTGTATTGATTGTTAGGAGGTCTGCGGCAGCGTCATCGACCGGTATCTGCGTAAATGCTTGGTGTAAATCA